ACACACACACACACACACACACACACACACACACACACACACACACATGGAATTCATTGTCCTGAACTTGGGTTTCAATCTAAGTACGAATGCATTGGGCTTCCCTGGTGGCGCAGTGGTTAAGAATCCACCTGCTAACGCAGGAGACACGGGTTCGAGCCCTGGTCCGGGAAGATCCCACGTGCCGCGAAGCAACTAAGCCCATGCACCACAACTACCGAGCCTGCAATCTAGAGCCCGCGAGCCACAACTACTGAGCCCGCACGCCACAACTAATGAAACCCGCGCGCCTAGAGCCCGTGCTCCGCAACAAGAGAAGCCACCGCAATGAGAGGCCTGCGCACTGCAAGGAAGAGTAGCCCCCGCTCGCCGCAACTAGAAAAAAGAAAGCCCGCGGGCAGCAACAAAGACCCAACGCAGCCAAAAATAACTAACTAAATAAATAATTTTTTAAGAAAAAGTATGAATGCATCTTTAGGATTATTTCCTAATCATAACCAGTGAGTTGGCTTTCCAAATACAGCAGTGTTATATTGTTTCTTCTTAAAAGATGATGTCTTTAAGGGTTTTTTTTTTAAGGTGAATCGTTGCTTTAAAGACAAATACTAACTAATTAATAGACTGAGACAGACTTATCTATGGTAAACTCATGAAGACAGTGTACAAACGAATGACCTTTGGCAAACACTGGCAAGAATGGCCGAGAACATGGGTTCCACAGTCCCACAAACTCCTGGTTCAAATCCCCCACTCCACCACTGACTAGCTCTACAGCTTAGGGCAACTTAATTTTGCCAAGCCTCTATTTCTTGTTGTAAAGGAATGAAATGATAATAAACCATATGGTTGTTGTGAAAATATAATGAAAAAGTGCGTGTAAAGAGCTGAGCACAGTGCCTGGCATGTTGTATCCAGTCCACCTCCTCCCCAAATCAACGTATCTCTCATTAAATTCACTCAAAACATATCAGAGGATTGTCCCACCATCAGTAGTTTACTTCTCCCTAATTTCTAACATGTAAAAATAAATCAAGAGTCAGGGATCCAACAGCAGAGCAAGCACAGAGGAGAGGTTCCAGTCCCAGCTCCTGTTTGCCTAAAGTACACTATTTACGCATCGATTCCATCTTCACCTCGTGACCTTGAATAGCAGGATCATTTTTCAAATCCATTTCTACCCCATCCCTCCCTCCCCCAGAAAGCTGGACTACTCAATCCAACCTTACCTAGAAGCCTATCACGATCATCACGGGACTAGTTCTGTGCAATCTAGGGTAAGATAGAGGCATAGTCTCTATTTACTGATTCAATCACTATTATCCGTTCTGTCGACAAATGCACAAAATTTGGTAAATCACTACTTTGGAAACAAAACATTACAGTACTATTAACGGAATTAAGTTCCTCACTTCTGAAATTAATTCGCCACATTCCTGAATATGGCATACTCCTCCATCTTTACTCTGCATCCTTAGTATCCTTTTAAATTACTTAGAGGTAACAAGAAACTTATTCGGATTCAAATGATCACTCTCTTCCAAGGTACGAAAGTTGTAAAACTACTACCTATATCAAGTTTTATTTAAAACCACTCTCTCCATTTCAAGTAAAACTTACCCATACTTCTAGAAAAGGAGAGAATGAACCCATCCCAGCCCTTGACTTTTTTTTTGCCATCTATGCAGAATTTATTGCAACATCATTCACCACCTTTGAGTATTTTCAGAAGGGGTGACGGTAGAAATGCGATTATCCAACACACAATGCAATCAGTCTAAGGCCTACACATCTCAGCCTCAAAAGACTTTTGTTTTTTTAATCCCAGGACAGAAAACAAAAACAACTGAATCACAAGAAAGGAGACTTGGTCTTAGAAGCCAGGTGATCCAAGTCCTGACCAGGCCTAAGATAACCTCCCAACCCCTGTGTCCCCATCAGTGACATGGTGCAGATCCATAATTCATACTCAAGCACACTGTAAAACTGGGTGGTGAGGCCAGTGTCTGAGGTCAGCACAAGTCTAGTGTCTGCTGGCTGCCCGAGCCCGGGCCCCCTGCCAGCCACCCACCTCCAGAGACAAGTGCCAGGACATACTATAGTGTTTCCATTTAAGGCTCGCCACTTGGATCAGCCCAGCTCTTGAAATTTCTTACCACCACCTTTCCAGGAAGAATTTTTTGGGGGCAAAAGGGAGGTGGTGTCTATTTTTTGCCACCGCCTTTCCTTGGGCTGTCAGAGCAGTCTGCATCTGTGGGACAGGATTCTTTAAAACCACTGGGTTAAGTCCGTGTCTAAATGCCAGGGCCTCTTTTCAAAAATATACAAAGTACGTATGAGATCAGTCCCTTTTCTCATCATCATCGAACTCCCACCTCACACACTTCAAAAAAGAAAGAAAGCCCAATAAAATTTACAAACCCATTGTATTACTTTGCTACCTCTCTCCCAAAGCCACATTAAGCACAACTTTTTAACCAAGACTTTTCTTTTCCTACTAAGTGGAATGTTTTCTTCGCTAAGTAGCTTCTTCTACAGTTTCTCTCCCATGCAAGGAGCGTTCAAAACTCCCGGGGAAAAGAAGGGGAGTCTGGGGAGAGTGGGAGACTTATGTGGCACAAACTGGACAGAGCTGAGGCAGTCTAGAACCCGACGGAAGTTAGGGAGTCCGGCAGCCCCAGAGGCCCACATCTCTCCCCAGCGCACCCAAGGGTCTAGCCTCGCTGTTTTGGTGACCGTGTTGAAGGAAGGGTTTTAAACTTGGCAAAGTACCGTGCAACATCTGTAACCACATTTGCCTTCTGGGGATCGGAAGATGAATCCCACATTCCTGGCTTTCAAGCTTTTTGAAACTGCAGCTAGGAAGAACGGAGGGAGGGAGGGCGTTGAGCAGAGTTTATTGGCTGTCTTTCCAGCAGAAAATTCCTCTTGGAAGAGACGGATATTTTGAGGGTGGGGGTGATTCGCCCATCCCTTTACTCTCTACCAAGCTCAGCTAGGAAGGTGAGCCCCGTGGCCAGGCGGTCAGATCGATTTACAAGTCAGAGGCGCGCACCCTGAAGGAGTTCACTACATGCACACACGCGCGCACACACACACGCGCGCGCGCACACACACACACACACACACACACACACACTGCAAACCAGAGACCACCGCACTCCGCGCCTCTGCCCTCTGCCACATCCCACCGGCAGTTCAGGCCCACAGCAAGACAGTTTTGTTCCGCGGCGGCTTCCCCCACCGAGAGTGAATCGGCTTGGGGGAGAAAGGAATGAAAGCGAGGGGGAGGCACCTCAGACGCCCACCCTCCCACCCCCAATTCCTGCCCCTTCTCCCGCTAGGCTCCTTCTTCCCTCGGTCCTCCCGGTTCCGGCAGACGCGGCCGACGACCTGCACTAACCTCTGGTCCCGCGGCGGCTGGGGGCCGAGCCGGGGGAGGCGGAGTGCGAGCCAGCCGGGCGCTGCAGGTCGGCGCGGCGCGGCGCGGGGCGGGGCGGTGCAGCCGGCGAGGGAGCCCGGAACTCCGCGGGGCCGAGGGCCGGCGGCCGGCCCAGAGCGGCAGCGGCGGCGGCTGCGGCGGGCGGCTGCGGCGAGCCGGTGCGGGGCGCCGGGGGCTTTCCAGCCCTGGGGCCGGCGCGGCTGGCCGAGGAGCAGCCTGGCAGCGGCGGCGGCAGCGGCAGCCACCCCGGGGAAAGAGCCGGAGGAGGGAGGGGAGGCGGGGTGAAGAGGAGGCGGAGAAGGAAGGGGAGGAGGGCGGGCGGAATAAACTTCCCGAGGCGCTGCGGCACGGGCTGGAAAGACGGCCGCGGGCGGGCCGGGTGGGGGCTGGCCCGGGGGGCGGCGGGGGCGGGGGGGGGGAGGACGGTCACTGGAGAGTAGAAAAGTTCCCCCAGCGCCGAGGGGGAGGCTGCGGCAGCGGCGGCTGCAAAGAGCAGGAGCCGGAGCGGGAGGAGCGGGAGGAGGAGGAGAAGGAAGTGGCTGCGGAGCGCTCGGCCAATGAGTGTCTGGAGCTGTGATTAACCAGGCAGCAACACATCATTTCCTCCCGGCGCGGATCCAGGGAGCCGGGAGGGAGAGGGAAGGCGGCGGGGCGGGGCAGTCCCCGCGCCCCCTGCAGGCGCCTAGCCGGGGGCGAGCCCGCCGAGCCCCGCCGAGCCTGGCCGAGCCGCCCCCGGCGCGCCTGGCGCTGTCTGGCCGGCAAGGAGGAGGCTGCGAGCGCGCCGCCCGCGGGGCTCCTCAGAGGCGGGGAGGCGGCGGGGCAGGCCCGAGCCAGGCTCCCGCGGCCAGGGTGGGAGGTGGAGAGGCTGCGCAGCGGGGTGAGTGCCCAGGTAGGCGCGGGCGGGGCCGTCTGGACAGCTCCCGGGGGCGCGCGGGGCGGGCGGGCCGGCGGGCTGCCTCCCGGGCCCGGGACTTCGGGCGGCGTGCGGCTGGAGTCCAGCTTGACAGACTTAGGCTGCATTCTCGGAGAGAAGCCTCGGGATTCTCATCCAGGCCATTTCTGACCTGTCTTCAGATCCCCTTCCACTTGGCTCATTTCCTCGTAAGGTCTGGGGTTATGCAAGAGCTTGCCATTTTTGCAGTCCGCCTCCTTAGTAATAAAAATATGCATTTGGGGCGGGGGGAGGAGGTTCTGCGGTAATCTGGCCCTGTCCTAGGCGCCATGAGAGCTTACAGTGGATAGGAAGGGACATTCCCCGCCACAGGGAGGATGACAACCTCGGTCCTTAGATACACAAAACACACCAGTGTGCTAATATTATCCAGAGCATCAAAAAGGCATGTGAGGATCAAATTTTGCATGGTGCCTGCTGAGTGTAAGGAAAGCACCAAGCCATTTTCTCTGCCCTCTAGAAGTTTAGAATGCACAGTTCTATCACAAAGCCAAATAAAAGCGTGAAGCTAATAAATGGGAATACCATAAAGTATTTTTATCTCTACAGGTTCATTCATGCAGCAGGCATTTACAGGGTGACTGTCTGCAGTACTGCAAAAGGCTGCAAAGAAAATGGAAGATCTGGTCCCTGCAGGTCAGGAGTTTACAATCTAATTAGAAACACAAGGCAAATATACGTGAAACCCCTAGAAAAGAATCCCCAGGTACTATACAAGCAAGAAGATGTAGAAGGCTGGGGGCATTTTTCCATAAGGGGAAGGGCTTTGTACCTGTATGACTGGTGGGAATCAGGAGAGGAAATTACAGGTCAGTCCAGCAAGAGTGCCTGTATGTATTCTGGCTCTGTAGAACAATGTGGCATGTACCTCAGTGTCACTTGGCTGAAGCGTCAGCCCTGCCACTTACAAACTGTGTGACTTTGGGTCCATTTTGACCCTCTTTAAGAGGGAATATAGCCTGTCTCATGAAGTTTGTTGTGCGGTTCAAATGAGATTACACACATGTGGGAGCTTCTCAAGCTGCTGTGTGGAATATTCCTCAGTCGGGTCCATTTACAGCGTTCTCATGTTACTGACCTCTTCTTGGTAAGCTGCTTTGTAGTATCCTCTAGGCTGTAAGCTCCAGGAGGGCAGGAACCAAGTTTGGTTGTATCCACCATGTATCTTCATGCCTAGCAGAGTAGCACATGTGAGTACTCAATGAAGGTTTGCTGAGTAAGTCAATAAATGAACTAATGAATCCTGTTAAGCTTTTGACTGTTCCTTTTATCTGTAACTTCACAGTGGTCTTATTGTGTGGCTGGCTCAATGCAGAACCCTCTAACTCAACCCTCATGTAAACTAAGTTGTATTCCGGGAGACTCTCTGGGAGGATTCTGGGTACTTCTTGCAGCCTTGTAACATAGATAAATTGATAGAGTGTGTGTGTGTGTGTGTGTGTGTGTATAAAACAGGAGGATACACAAGGATACAGCCCTTCACACAAGGCCCACCAAGGATACAGCCCAAATACAGACCTTTGGCTTGGATACCTTAATCCAGGGTTTCTCAACCTTGGTGCTATAGACATCTTTGGTTGGATAATTATTGTGGGGTGCTGTCCTGTGCAGTGTAAGAGGTTTTGCAGCATCCTTGACCTCTATCCATTACATGTAAATAGGACTCCCTCCACAGTCATGACAACTAAAAATGTCTCCAGACATTGCCAAATGCCTAGGGAGGTGGGAGGAAGCAAAATCACTGCCCATTGAGAACCACGACTTACCCCAACGTCTAACCCACTGATTTAACTCTGGTGGAAAATCACACTAGTAAAGTAACTTGGAGGAAATACATCTTCTGTTATTCTCAGATTCCCAGATCTCTTCCATCGTATGTTTCAAGGAGCAGGACTCTTGTTAATTAATTGCCGGCTGCATTGTGAATTGGCAACTCTTCTGTTTTCTGCATATCCTCCTCCTTTACACCCAGATCAACATGTTCATTTCTAAAAGTCAACAGCTTTCAAAAACTATTAGGAAACAGAGTCTTGAGCAACCTAAGAGTCCTGTACAATATTTTCCTATAAAATCAGGGAAATTTATTCCATAAAATTTTGCAGATTGTGATACAGAATATAAATTATAATTTTTAGAAATGATTTCATTTAAAATATCTAAGCAACTACAGTGAGTGATTTTCTCTCATCTTAAAGCCATTTCTTTTTGGCTCCCAGAGTGTTTTCCTTTCATAATCGTATAAAGGAACATGGCTTATTAAAACCTATAAAGCAAAATTCAGCTTAGTTATATATATCAACTTTTACAAGCAAATTCTTTAGAAGAATATTGGTGGGATGTTTGAGAGCTGGTGTTGATGAGAATCATGATGGATTGCAGTTCAATTGCTAGAGGTTTCTGGAAGAAAAATAAAGATTAGTGGTTGATTTGGGCATGTAGAACCAAAATAAATCCCTGCTCCCAGCAGGCAACAGTACCATGTTTACCATGCGAGCAGACATTTGTGTTCAGCAAGACAATATCATCTGTCTTATTAAATAGTTATTTGAAGCATTGGTTTTATAGTTTTGTTCATATTTAGTTTTGGTTGTAAAGTTGTGTAATGGTTACAGGCATATGGAGATTAGTTTACATCTAGCTGAGTGGTCATTCACATTTAAGTTGAGCGTTGAAGGCTGGGTAGGCATCCAAACTGCTTAGAAAAAGCACACGGTTTGAGGGCTGGATGTGGTTTATGGTAAAGCAATTCTCCCATTTCTGTTTTGTTAGACTGGAACTAGGACACATACTCTTAGGGGATCTCCAAGTTCTCTGTGAAATTTGTTCTTTTGCTTCAGTTACAATATTTTTAAAAGGAATTAATACCATATTTTTTTTTTAAATGTTGAGCCTTCTTTTAATTTATTTATTTATTTTTAAATTTTTGACTGTGTTGGGTCTTCGTTTCTGTGCGAGGGCTTTCTCTAGTTGTGGCAAGCGGGGGTCACTCTTCATCGCGGTGCGCGGGCCTCTCACTGTCGCGGCCTCTCCTGTTGCGGAGCACAGGCTCCAGACGCGCAGGCTCAGTAGTTGTGGCTCACGGGCCTAGTTGCTCCACGGCATGTGGGATCTTCCCAGACCAGGGCTCAAACCCGTGTCCCCTGCATTAGCAGGCAGATTCTCAACCACTGCGCCACCAGGGAAGCCCAATACCATATTAAAGTAATTAATATGATGCATATTCTGGATCATATAAATGTTTACCATGCAACCATGATTCCACTACCCTTTTTTTGCTATGTACCTATAAAGAACATGAAGTTTATTTAAATGAAATTTTATAAAAATTATTTAAGGCATCACTGAAGGTCCATGGAATTTTTTTCCTTTTGAAGGTGTCCATACATTACTCAAGTGTGAGAAATACTGACCAAGCTGCATCATAACTATTCCTGGCGAATGATGAATTAAAAGACCCTGAGATCTAGAATTTAGTCCTAATACTGAGGCCCATAAGAAACCAATATTATGTTCCAAAGATTGAAATGACTGGATCAGAACAGTAAGAGGTGGAAGGGAAATCATAACCTGAAAGGGTCACTAAAAATCCTATCAGGACTGGCACCCTTTTCCTCAAAAGGTAAACATTTAACCAGGTAGGACAGACACTTGTTTATCTTCCAGTTAAACTTTCCCAGGTGTGTGAATGACTCGTTAATTGTTCATTTCATACAAGACTTTATTGGACATCCACCGTATTCAAAGAACTGTGGGAGCTACAGCCACTTCCCACTTGGGAAAGTTCATCCAGTGATTCCTGGCACAGCGGGTTACATGCAAACCAGTGTGCGGCTATGAGCCAACCATGTGATAAAAGAGGCATTACAAAACCATTGCAGAAAGGAAAGATTATTCATTAAACAATGTTGAGGCACTTGGATAAAATCCTGTTATTGCATCTTCTCACACCATTCCTGAAAATATTTCCAGAAGGAATAAAGAGTTAAACATATTTTTTAAATTGTAAATTAACTCAAAGCAAATATAGGTAGATACCTTTGGATGAGGAAAGGACTTTTTTTTTTTTGGTTCCACCACAGGGCTTGCAGGATCCCAGACCAGGAATCGAATCCAGGCCCACAGCAGTGAAAATGCCAATTCTTAACCACTGGACTGCCAGGGAATTCCCAGAAAGGACTTTCTAAATAAAAGCTATGGAAGAAATAAAAAAGATTGGTTGGCTTGACTATGTAAATTTTTTTCCTTAAAATGTCTTAGGGAACAAGCAAACAGATAAAACGGGGTGGGGGGAGCCAAGGAGTGAAGCTCCTTACAACATATACTCAAAAGGGTTAAAATCTTTAATATATTAAAAAAAAACTTACCAATCAACAAAATGGACCTTTTAATAGAAAGTTGGGTAGACGTCATAACAGACAAGGAAAAATAAATTTTACATATGAACATTAGGAAAAAGTTTAC